CGTGTGTGAGTGTGAGTGTGAGTGAGCTCGAGAGTGAGAGAGTGGGAGAGTGAGAGTGAGAGTGAGAGTGAGGGGTGTGAGTGGGCGAGAGCGTGAGTGAGAGTGAGAGAGTCAGAGTAGAGTGAGAGTGATTGCGAGCGTGAATGAATGTTAGTGTGAGGATGAGCATGGGTATAAATATAAATTTAAACGAATATGAAAATAATAAAAGACAAGATTATTTTAAAATTATATTTATAATGAAATATATTTTTTGAAATTTATAAAAGGTAATTTATTACAAAAAAAATATATTGAAATTTATTAGATTATAGATCTACATTTTGCGAATTTATTGGATTTTGACGAATTTGGGAATTTCGAGGTTTTGATGGATATATTGAAAATAGCAATAAATTAATCGTATATATCCGTGCGATATTTCCGATTAGACGTTAATATAAGAATTCTTAATATTTATATTTTATGGGTGAATTATTTCTATATTTTTAATTAGAATATTTGATTTTTTGTCGTTGGATGGACATTATGATATATTCTTGAAAGATTGGATTGTGTAATTATTGTCGGGTGTCGTCGTTTGCCGGAGCAATATATTATTAGTGCCGGCGGTCTTTTCGCTATCTAGGATTTTTATAAAGATATATTTTATAAATAAAATATATAACAGAATTTTAAAAATATATTAATAAAAAAAGGCAAAAAGATTGCTATTAATCCTTATAATAATCCAAATTTTTAATAAATCTAGAATAATTTTGGATTAATATTTACATTCCTCTCTAATGAATTCAAACGCCATAAATCCGCAACCGTTGCACCCAATAATGCTCGACACGATTCAATAGATTTCTACAATATTAGGAGGGAATTGCCTACTGATATCGTTGCGGGGATACCATTGCTGCGTGCGCTTCGGGGCTTAGGCCCTGGTACTGCCGGAGGTCGCCGCTACTATATGCGTATATATTCTATTATTAAATTTTCTATTTTACATAAAACAAAAATTGCATATGTGCCTTTTGGAATCTGAATTGCAGGATATATTGAGGAGCTTGGGTGCCGCTATTGGGTGCTTGCGGTGGGCCGCTACTAGATATGTGATTGTGCAGATTTTGGAACTTAGATACTAATATTGCTACGATATATCCTTACCAGATGGGGATTATTTACATTATGAATTTCAATGATCGTGTCGCTGAAAGATGCTGGAGAATGCTGCGGCAATATTTCAACCCGCCACAAAATATATTTTTATAAATTCTATGACAACGTAATTATTGTGGCAAAAATCACGATAATTTAAATATATTAATGTCAATATTATATCGGATCTTTAATATTATCATTTATATTATTTATAAATATTGTCAATTTAGCACGGCCTTGCTTGGCCTTTTAGCTGCTCAGAGACCAGACAAGCTGCGGGCCGCTCCGCTTCGGCCGAGCGTCCGCGTCCGATCGCCAGAGATATAAATATTGTTAATTAACAAATTACTATCGTTATTGAATACGTTTAAATACAATCATTATAATATATATTATTATATACACAGGAATTTGCGATAAAATAACGATATATATATATATATCCAATAAACACCATAAAATTCGTATATGTATTAATGCAAATATAATTTCTATCCATATTGTTTGACCAATTACGATAATGCAAAATTAAAATAATAACGAAATAATCAATATTCAAATCATCATAATTAGCATAACATTCCAAAAATTCATATAAATTCCAAAAATATAGATCCACCATACCAATTAAAACCACACAATAGCGATACCAACATCCAAATCCCAAATCCTTTCCATAATATTCATGAATAATATCTCCGATAATACCAACAAAAATATAAATATCAAAATCATAATAATCTTTAATCAAATTTTATAATCCAAATATATATTGTATTATTCTTTTAAATATAATCCAATTTATTAAAATCAATATTATTAAAAAATAGTTATATAAATAAACATATCTTAAATATTATTGAATAATATATTAATTTGAATTAAAAAACATAATCTATTATTTTAATTCAAAATCTTTAAATACATATATATTTTTTAAATATACCTTTTCAATGCATGATTAATTCATTCATTTCATTTTAGTGTCGACAGAGATAAATCTGCCCGTTGTGAGTTGCAATAAACTACGAAAATTTGCGGACGTTTCGTGAACGTCAATGTCCAAATCTGCAATCATCAAGGCTGTGTTGGAAGAGCTCTTACATGTCAAAAGCTGTTCCGAACAAATCGTTCAAGGTGATCTCAAGCGCTGGGATTCGACAGATTGGCATGGTCCATCGAGGAATCATCAAATTGGTGGAGGGTGTGAGCCACAAAAGATAATTCTCGCAGGCAATTCCTTCATTCATGAATATTTGGCATGGCTTGGCATCATCAACATCATCATCATTCATTATTAGGCCAAGAGAGGAACAAAAGAGGAATTCAAAATAAAGACATAATGACCACTCAGGGGTTCCTCGCCCTTATGCAGAACTCCAACAATCACATGAAAATTGTGCTGGATTCGCACAATTTGTGGTCCAAGCTAGGGAATCTATCAATTTGAATATGCAACAATTTATTGGGCTGGAAGAATGCGCAAACGAAAGAATCAATATGATACCATTCATCGATCAAATCCTACAAAGATGCTTTTTGCGACTAACGGCATTGCAAAAAGAACGAGAATAAAATGGTTCCATGGTCCTCAATAATATGCAAATTAATCTATTTCCTGGAATCAAAACCTTAATATTTCCCAAAACATAATATATTCCAAAAAAAATCAATAATTATATCCCATATTATAATACCAATTTTTTGAATTATTACATCCATATCCCCCAAATGCTTTTATTAAATCCATCAAATCCATCAATAATCAATCAATCCCAATGCTAAATCCTCAACACGCCACGGATATAATAAATATTTCCTATATTTATCTATATATATTTAGTCAAAACACGAATCAAAAATATAATCTCTAAGATAACGTGCAAACAAAAACATTCCATTACAATCCCATAAATCGATATATCATAATCAACTAAATCAATATATATATATACTCGGTACCTTCAATAAATCGAAATATTAAAAAATAGAATTCAATAATAATACGACAATTATTCTTCAAACAAAAACTTCATTACCCCCCCAAAAAAAAAATCTACTAAATAGATTACAAAATATATTATAGCTTTTTATCCAATTATATTAATTTCACTAAACTTTCTATTTCATAATTTTAAAATATTTAATATCATAATTCCAATCCAACACAATTCATTATTTCTTAATATTTTAAAGTGCTCTCTGCCCGTTTTGGACTGCAGATTGCTAAGAAACAACTGGACGTTTCGAGAACGTCAAGGCCCATATCCGCAAGGGTCAAAACATGTCAAAACCAACGAGTTAGCTTCGATCAAACGCAGCACCGAATAGATCATTAAGATCCGGTGTCTTTTCCATTGCCGTAATTCGATAAATCGGCAATCTTTAATTCTATAACATTCGGATAGGCGCAAGCCAAATCAAATAGCATTCAATGGCGATCATATCATACATGTGTATTTGATACGATGGAATATCATCATCAATTAAAAAGATGCAAAAGAAGTATATAGGGCGTTCATATAATGGCCACATGTAAATTCATCCCCTTTATGAAATATTAAGGCCAATACTCGAAAGCTATGCCAGGTAACCATCCGACTTCTAAAATTTGGAATCAAAATTGGGGAATCGATCAATTTACATACATAACACTAAAAAAGATACATACAAATCTTGCAAAAAACTTTTTACGAATAACTATTTAACAAAAATAACGATGCTATCCTAATCCTCAATTGCATATAACAAACATTTTTACAAATCGATCAAACAATTCCCAACCTATTACTAGTCGAAAAACTAATCACGAAATACATCTAGAAATTCAACAATAAAAAAAAAATACAAATCCAATACAACATAATCAATCAAAATCAATGATTATATTCCCTTTCCTTATATAAATATCATAAATTCCTTATACATCAATCAAAATTATAATTAAACACGAAATAATAATTCCCAATATTAATCCATATTTAAATAATCAAAATTCCAATTATTTATACAATTTCTAAACAATCGCATTAACCAATAAACTACATTACAAGCTAATTAGACGATATTTCATTATCACCAATTATATCGCATAACTAATATTTTTGAACATATTAATATAAAATATATTTAATTAAATTAAACACATATTTTACTTCAATATATAATATATCAAAAAAAAAATATATATTGAAATTCATTCTATAGAAAGGGTCGGGAATAAAAAACTTGAGGTCGAGAGTAGGTGACGAAAGCTAACAGGGGTGCATCCGGACTGGTAGGACATCAAGCGGAGTGAGGCAAATGTTCATGAGGTAAAACGTTGTGCACATGTAAGACACACAAACAACAATGACACAGCCAACTTGAGAGAAGAGGGGGGTAAACGAAAGGTAACAAAGAATCAGGCGTAATCCGGGAGGAGGTAAGAAGCCCCCCACTTATTTGAAGCGAAATGAGTGAGCGTGATGAAAGAAAGACTAATGCACAAGCGCTTGACAAAACCTCCAGAAGCTGTAGCGGTCTAGCGGTTTCAATACAGGTTGACGTGCCTTCAAAAGGAATCACATATTTCTCAAATGCAACTTCGGATTTACATAGTAACGTGCGGCGACCCTGTAAATTGCGTGGCCGCAGGCCATGCTTACAAACAGGACGTGCTCAAAAATACTGGTATTTACGAGGTTTCGTTGCCGTCGATCCACAGCCGCGGCAAGGTCTAAGGCCACGCTTGAAGACAGGAGGAGCTAAAAACACTGGTATTTACGGTATTTTGTAGCCGTCGATCCAAAGGCGCACCACGGTTGAGCGCTGGAAGCGCGCAGAAAACCGTGTAAATACCGGCGTTTTCTGCCGAGAAGGTGCACAAAACCCTGTAAATACCATAGTTTTGTGCAATTTTAAAGCCTCCAAAAGCCTCAAAAACCCTTTCTGACAAAATCTTTCCTGGTTTTTGGTCTTTTTTCGGTCATTTTTCTAACCGAGACGCATCAAAAACCATCGGTTTTTGCGGTGTTTTTTGCCGGACAGCCACAAAAAACGCTGTAAATTCCATGATTTTTGGTCACTGCTGAGGACTGGAAGAGCTGAAAACACCGATATTTACAGTGTTTTCGAACGGTTGACCCCGAGGCGCGCTAGGGTGGAGTTGAAAGGGCAGCAAACGAAGATGTCGGGGACCATTTCTCCGAGAGATAGGCTGCAGCTCTGGGTTAATACATTTTTGCTAAAGCAAAAGGAAAACTCAGGTAGCGTAACCGCTACCTTTCGTGACCTTAGAATTGAAGTCCCCGATAATTAAGGAAGCGTGTCTGGACTTTGCCACACTGTTCGATGCATCCGATGTGTCCACGAACCTGTGAGCTTGTTGAATCTGTTGCACCGTATCCCAAAATCTCCACGGAGGAGTTGAACCAGTGTGGATGCCATAAGAGGTGCCCAAGAGGTGTCCCAGAGGCAAAACAAAGCTGCTTGCATGATTTGTTTGGTTTCTTCTATCGATGTCGATGTCATAAACCTGTGAGCTTGTTGAATCTGTTGCACCGTATCCCGGAGGAGTTAAGCCAAAGTGGATGCCATAAGAGATGCCCGAGAGGTTGAACCCACGGGAGGGGGGGGGAGGGGGGGCCCCCCCTACAAATGAAGTTTTCACGTGATGCGGCGATCCCGAGGATTCCAGCCCCTCACTTGCTAAAGCAAGGACAACTCCAGCTAGCTGGTGCTAGCTTTCGTGATAATATATAATTCAACACAATTCTGATCAAGTCTAATGTATAATTTTATATAATTTTGATTTTGATCATATTTATGCAACAGCGCAAAGACCCAATCGAAAGACATGGAAGGCCTCCCCACTGCAGCGAGGCAGCTAGTGGTGTCCCCAGGCCCGCCGCTCCACAGCTTATGGCCGAAGGTCTACTTCCCCTTCTTATGGCAACGCGTTCTAGCGTGTCCCACGTCTCTCGTACTGTTCCGGCAGCCGGTGAATCTAGCTTTCAAACCGCACATCGATTTTTTTCCCAAACATCATAAACATCCTCACGCGAAGGATTGGTTGGGGACAACAATGGTGTTAAGACACGTGAGTGGCCATTTTGGCCGGCCAAACCACGCAGCCACTGAGCTGCGCTTGGCAACACCCACTCGTCCATCCAATCTGGGGCCCCCTTTCATTCGCAACCCTTCCCCCATCCTCTGGATCATTGAACGCCAATTGAATCCTGAACGTGTTCGACACCAGTCTGCCGGATGCTGCCTGTGATGCAACAAATCCTCAAGATTCACTGACATTCCCGGGCCACAACGTTTGATTATGGGGCATGCTTCGGAGGTATGCTTCGCCTCGAACATCCCAGCCCTACATAAACTGGACACACTGTAGAAGGACAAGCCCACATGGAACTGGACATGGGCCTTAGGAAAACGACTTCCCTCTACAAACGGTTTTCTACTTCCATGTCAGTAAGGGAGATGCAGCAATGAGCATTTGATGTTTCCCTGAGCCGTCTTGCGGTGGGTGTTGGACTCCGCGGATTCGTCCTTCGGACCAACTCAGTGCAAGCTGCATGCTGGATAAATGCCAGAAGGATCTCCACAACTTAATTTGTATGACTGTATGACCTTGATCTGCCCAAAGGAAGCATCATTCGCCCCAGCTTCACGAGTTCTTTTGACCATCGTTGACTGACATGAACCTCAAACTCAGACTAAGCATGAGCGCATTTGGGGCACTTCCTTGCTCACACCCAAGCAAGTTGTGGACATTCTCCATACGCAGCCTTAGTCTCTCCTTTGAGGATGGTTGGTGCTGCTGGCTGCTAGACGGCTCCAGGTCAAAACCCCCTCTGCCAAATCAAAGTAGTTCTTATTTTCGGGTGGTCCATTCTTGCTGAGCCCAAATGAGGTTCTGACCAATTCCCATCTCTGCGATTGCTGCCTGGATTATGCCAAGCAGTTCAAAAGCTTTCTGATTCACCAACATTTCATGGCAAACCACGGAAAACGCCAACTCAATTGCTTCTCTGAAGTCGACCTAATCAAGTGGATCTATGCAGGTGAAAGGACAAATGGAGTTGTTTGCGATTTAAAATTAGCTCGCAAGAAAACCGGGCAGCTTCGCCAGCATCTCCGATGCCTACAAAGGCCCCTTCAAAAACCTGCTGCATTTGGCGCCTCCGAACGCCCGATCCCAAAATCTCCAAGACCCCATGAACGGGCCCCCTCTGCCTAGGCTGGAAGCTCTATGAGGTTTAGGGCCAAAAGTGGTGGGGTTGAGTAAGGTCGGCGGCAAAAAGCTTCCAGCTTCCAGCCTATCTGGCTGACTCTTGGCATCGGCCTGAAGCAAGTATCAAGCCTTGGAGCAAAAACAGGAGCCTCCTGGTGTGTAGTCCTCCTTGACCTGGGCAGCTCTCAGAGATGGAGTGGCTTTATCATCATGTGCTCAGATCTGAACAAATCAATACACCTATATACCACATCCTGAGGCTGTGACATGCTGGAACTGTTCCACCATTCTTTCCGCTGACGGTCTTTCTTTGTAGTCCACCTAGGCGTCTTTCTGCCACCGCGCGGAGATTACACCAACCACCCAAGAAGGCAGGGTGGCACTCAGTGCGGCTGCTTGGAAGATGCGAGGGGCGTCCCATGAGTAAATCACTTCTTGCTTTTGGATTCCTTCTTCCACCACCAGGGTTTTCGGAAATCAATGAACATTGAGTCATTGAAACCGAGTCTTTGAGAGCGATTGGCCGGGCCTGCTCTGTCAAAGCCTCTCACCACAGTGATCATCGACCACCTGTTGCATGACGCCCATCATTCCACATGTTGCGACTCCAAGGGGCTGCCCATGCTGCCTTCATGATTGGCCGCAGCTGTGAGTGGCACTCAGAATCGGATGGCCTGAACCCAATGGGATGGCTGGTCCACCCCAAATGCTTGGGATATGGCGAGCAAGCAGAGGTACCCTGAAAAATCATAAGTAATCAGCAGCTTTTGGCAGTGGCAGTGATGTCTTGAACCAAACTGTCCGCAAAGCTCCAATGATTTTAAAGCCGAATGCGCTGACTTTGGTTGCCTTCAGCTTTCCAGCTGGTTTTTTAGTTCGACGTGTCCGATCTCCGACCTCGGCTCATTGCCCTTGACATACTCCTTCAAGACCTTGGAGCTAGGATTGGCTACGAATCACACACTTGCCCACTGGCTCGGCCTAACATGTTTCGGCGGATGGAACATGATAGAATATCTTCCTCGAATATCAGTGAAAAAGTTCCAGACTTTCAGATCCATCCTTTGCTTGCTATTTGTTTTAGAGTATGTTCTTCTCTTCCTATCTCTTCCCTCAATTTCCTTCACTCTTCACGGAAGGCCCAGAAAAACGGCAAACATACGAACGTCTCCAACAGCTGCGCACCATGGATTCCGCCAGGTGGCAAGCTCCGGATCTTTTCCCATCTCATGGAAGGGTGCCTTCCCCGCGCTCATGAAGAACCTGCAAAGGTCTGCGTTGTACAGCGACGCCCAAAAACATCATCAGCAACAACAACAACAAAACTGGCCTCTGTTGGAACTGACCTTTGTATGCGTCTGGGTGATGCTATCAGAATTGTCCAAGTTTCAAGCATTCAACACATTCAAAACGTTCTCCCAAGAATATTCCGGGCAAAAACACCAACTTATGGGTTTTTCATGATATTCCTGTCCGAACATATCCAAACCATTCCAAACTACAGTGACTCGGCGCCACAGACGGGTCTGCACGGGTTCACTCCCCCGGATGGTCGTTTGGGCCCCAAACATGATCAGCGCAAAGGCGTAGATGTCCACTTTCTCCTCAGACTCCCACCGGTGAGGTACTTTTGGGCGGCAGGGGTTTTGGATGGTTTTGGCGTTAGGTGTTGGTTTGGTGTTGTGGACTTTTTCCCCGAAATGGCAGATGTGTAACGGTGCTGCTGGGGCTTGGATGCAACAATCTCAAGTTTGAGTGCCAAAACCTATGGCATGGTTACAAAAACTCCCTCGAAGGATGCACGGACTTGCGGGCACGCTCCCACACCTCCCCTTACTCACGGGTGGAGCGGGTGAAGGTGGTGATGTGAAACTGTCAGAAAACCTGTCAACTCTACTACCATATGTACACTACGACGAACTGGCATGCTTGCATGAACAGGAACGAGAACGATAGCCTAAGAGCAGGTTTCATCCACCGACTGCTCACCCCGGTACCGATGCCAGTGCTTGCGGAGGAAGCCGGAGAAGCCGGTTGCAAACGAGCGTCGTTGTAGTGTTGATGCCTCAGTGAAGAACTTGGCTCTGCTGTCAAAAAATGACTCCACTCCCCCAAGCGATCACAACACAAACTTTGGCTCCTCATGTTATGTGAAGTTTTTGGACGCCCTGGCAAAAGGTGATAATGTTCAAAAAGCAACAATCCAAGAACCCTCAAGAATCCACATTTCCCGGCCCAGTCAAGGCTGAATCTGCCTCAAGAATCAAAACTTGTCGAGCAAACACTTGGGAGGTCTTTATCTCACACCGACCCTGACAGCAAACAGCCAATCAGGAGCACAACAAGTAGTGAAGCTTAAACCTAGAGGAGATAACCATCGTCAACCTAGAACCCTGCACAACAAAGAGCTGGACATCAACAGCCACACGGCATGTCGAGAGGTTCCCAGCATGTTGAATCGGCGCAAGGGAATCTCATCATCCTTGGACCCCTGCATGTGAATGACTCTAGCTGCTAGTGGCCAATTAAGGAGGTTTAAGTAGGCGGTTCCTTATGCTCCCAACAGCGAAGGTCTCAAGCGGAGATGGCCAAAACCTTCATGCTTTGGCCGAGCTTCCGAACAACTTCAGGAGCCATATAGAGCCAGCTCCCGACGCCCCCCGTCATGTTGTAGACGTCACTGGCGACTGCGGCCCTGGGCTTTTGTTTGGATGTCGAGGAAGACATCTGTAGCCCCAAAACTGAAGAATATAAAGGCCCCCTGTGGTCACCGAAGGCCTGGGTCTTGGTTTTAATATGTTTTAATTCATAATACCCCATCTGCAATGAAGACTTATTGTAATACTCTTTAATATCATTCTGTGCGCAGCTTTCTTGCCTGTCCAAATGTGACTAGCCCTACAAAAACAAAGTTTGCAAACAAAAGCAAAAGAATTCAAAACAGCATGTGGGGGCAAAAATAGGGACCTGATCAGGCAAGGCACCTCTTGCAAATCAAATTGCAGTATGTGGGCCAACAAAAACTTCAATCAACACACGAAGCTTGACCCTCTCTTTGCTTCCTGCACGCTTCATGCACTTTGCATCATGCCCCGGCAAAATCCATTCCAACTAACTGCTGAGGCTCATCATCTTGCTGATTCCAAGATCAGCAATTTTCACCTCCAGGTGCTTCGTCCTGGGCCGTCCCACAGTCGCTTCGTCTACAGGCAAACAAGGCCGACTACATGGATGCTTCCAAGAACAAGTGGGAGATGCGTGAGAATGGTATGTTGAATGTTGAGCTTTTAAAGAACATTCTTTGGACAAGTAAATCTTATATACCTTGGCAAACATACCAAGTCTAAACGTGATAACACATGCACGTGAACTCGTCCAGAAAGGATCAGGACAAGTACTACAGTACACTTACTCTTTCCTATTATCTTTTGCAAGCTCCCTGAGATCCGGGCAGCAGCAAATTCAAAGGCTTCAAATCCCTGTGCACGATGGGCTCATCTCCTTGGTGGGGATCGTGGCTCAAAAAGCCACTCCATTCATCCCTATTCGTTCGAGAGTATACCTTCGCCTCCTCGACCAGAAAACCTTACAGTATAGACTTGAAACAAACGTTGATCTGCTTCGTGGGTCTACATCGCAACAAAAGTGCTTGCACACCTATGGCAGTTTCAATTAGTAGTGCAAGTAGAAGTGAGAGGGGCTCGCAGTCTGCCACTTGGTGAAGTGGCCAGGGTTGGTGGCGGCAGGAGTGGCAGGAGAAGGAGAGTTGTGAATCAGAAGAAACAAAGCACCAAGAATGAACAAAGCAGCTTTCTTGACAATCATGTTGAGAAAGAACCCAGCCAAAGTTACGAGGTTAAAGCAATGACATGTTGCATGATGTGCTAAAGGCTTTGCGAACCCTAGGTCTTTGCGTTGAGCATTTGAGAAACCAAGTTACTAGTGTGGAGGAAACTCAAGGCGCGTGCAACTGCCTTGGATGCGACGACCCGGCCCTCCTGGGTCGGATTGAAATCTGGCAAAGCAACATTTGATCAAAGCAACATTGGAGCAGTAACAACAACTGGGAATGCCTATACCGTTCAACATTCAGCTCAACCAAAACAGCCGTCACGTCCTGCTTTCCACGCTCCAGCTTGGAACTCTTTGAGAAAACAATAAGATCGTTGATGCTTTCTGCCACCCACCCTACCCAGACCATAAATACTCAAGTCAAGCGCTGAACTTGGCAACTCATCTTCCTGGCCGGGTTTTCCTGCTTTTGAAAGTGCGTTCGCATCAGTTTAGCTGTCAAGTTACCCACGCTCATGTTATTGCATCCTGTTGCAGGTTTTCGGCACAAAGGAAGAACTTGAGAAAACAATTGGACCCGCTGGTAATACTTTTTGTGAGCCAATGAAGCGGCGGGTTGCGTTTTTGCCCCTTCCGCTTTCCTCTCGCCCCGAGGTGCAGAGCACCAGTCCAAGATTTGCTGAAGTGGAGGGCGCCATCGGTCGGTCTGGTTCTGATTTCGCTTTGCCTTGGCAAAGAACATGCACTGAATGTATCTGAATGTGTGGTTGGGTGCTAGGTGCGACTGCCGCTAGGACTTGGACAAACCCACCGGTCATTAGCAATGTCTGAAGCTTTCTTTCAGGGGCTCTGTCCACGAACTGTGCTGTGCCAAATCTATACTCATTTATTTTTGAACAGTTGGTCCTTAGAATCTCTACCGTGCCTTGTTTGCATTGTGAGTCTTCTACTTCTATGGGCCACTATGCCACCGTAAGAAATCGTAAGAAGGGATCTACATAAACATCCCGCCGGGCTGACAACTGCGCCTGCGTTTTTGCATTTATTTTACGTTGTCAATCTTGAGCTGGTGGGTTCGAAAGGTCGAAAGAGTCGTACAGCCTGCGTTTCGGAACATTCGACTTCCGAAAGAAGAGCCTATTTAGAAGGTGTTTCACTTTAAACTCGCGGTTTGCTGCAGCGATATATGTGTTTTCATCGTAGTTAATCCCTTAAAATTGACCTCTTTGTTGAAGGATTCAAGGGCAGTTTTCTACAGCGAAACAAAACCTTGAGATAGGAGGGGTCAACGAAAGGGAGGGGGAAGGAGAGAGGATCGCCATGGGGGAGTCCAAGCCTCGAGAGGCTCGAGCGCTTCTGACTGAATTCGGCATTGCGCGGTGACCCTGCAGGCGATTCCCAAAGAAACAGACCGGAGGGTGCAGGTCAGAAGAAGTGAAGCCCCCAGCTCCAGCAAGACAAGCCCAAAGAACTCTAAAGTAGTGAAGCCCAAACCCAAGCAAGACAAGGCAAAAGAAACCCTGAAGAAGCCAAGCCCTCAGCCAAGCTCAAAAGAATCCGAAAAAAGTCAGCCCTGAACAGCCCGCAACGCTCCGTCCAAACCAGCCCAAAGAAACCCTAAAGAAGTGAAGCGCCCAGCCGAGCCTGCAGAAACCATAAAGAAGTGAGACCCGCCAAATCCCGCAAACCCAGCGAACCCCAGCAAGACAAGCCCAAGGAAACCCTAAGTAGTGAAGCTCTACGCCAGAGAAGAAGTCAGACCGGAACACCCCACAGCCCACCCCAACAAAACCCCAAAGAAGAGACTGGCATGAAAGAAGCGAATCAGCCATACCCAAACAAATCCTACAGAAGTGAAGCCCTCAGCCACAGAGACCCTAATGAAGCAAACCCTGCAAGCCAAACCCCAAGAAACCCTAAAGTAGCAATGAAAGTAGTGCAAAATCAGAAGCCCTAAGCCAGGCCCAGAGAAACCCTGAACCCGCCAGCCGAGCCCCCAAAATCCTGAAGTAGCAAAGTTCGGATGCCAAACCCAAAGACACGATAAACACATGGAAATACTAAAGACATGAAGACCTAGAAGCCTAACCAAAAGAACTCCCAAGGAAGTGAAGCCCGAAGCCCAAAAACCAAAGAAACCCTTAAGAAGTGAAGCGCGAAGCCAAGCCTGAAGAAACCCTAACGAAGTGAGACACGCAAACCCAGCGAAACCCCGGCAAGACAAGCCCAAAGTAGTGAAGACCTACACCTACACCATTTCAAAGGCAAAGAAACCCAAAAGATATGAAGACCGAAGCCACAACTAGAAAAATTAAGAAGCGATACCCGAGCATCCGGAACATTGTCATTCACCTACTATAGCTTCAGCTCGAATTCGAGCTCGGGTCCGAATTCAAGTTCGAGGCCTTCCAGGGTTGAGTTCTAACAGTTCCAGCTCGAGTTCGAATTCAAGTTCGAGGCTTCTATGCTTCTAGGGTTGAGCTCTAACTGTTCCAATTCGAGTTCAAATTTGAGTTCGAAGTCAAGTTTGAGCGGGGCACACTATGCAAAGAAACATGCCGCAAGAATTGTCCAAACATCTCAAGATGCACCCAAGCCGCGACGGCGCAGGGGGGATTTGATCCAGGGAAGGGGGCCCCCTGTCGAACAGAATCCCTTCTTGGAGGACCAAACTCTAGGCACAACCCCAAGTCCTGGTTACACTAATTTTTTGCTAAAGCAAGGAGAACTCAGGTAGCTGAAGCTACCGTTCGTGATTTCACAAATCATGAACAATTCTAGTCAAGCATCGTTGTCCGACATTCCTTTCAGTCAGCGCCCAACGATGTTTGAAACGGCGTGTCCTGTACAAAGCATCAAGCCTTTGCCTTTGTTCCCCACCTCCAACAGCACCTTTGCAAACACTGGAAGATTTGCGGGTTGACCTCACCATTGGACGTAAACGTGTGCATGGAGGTGGGAATTACCATCTTTGCACGAGCCCAAAGCCCATCCATGGAACCAGTGTTCACATCCAGTGATGGGACACGTCTCCAACAAGAGTTCAAGCTTAGTCCACCACAAAAGGGACAGTAGAGGTAAGTGTTGATCTAGAAGATCTACGTGTAAAACCCAGCAGTGATCGATGCACGTAATCGACAACACTTCGGCCACCAGGGGACCCCCTCCTACGGACAAACACCACCCCCAACCAGGACGAAGATGCATTTGATTCGCATGATGAGAGAAGAATGGCAATTATATAGATGCAAATAAGGCGGACACATGTCGATAAGATTCTTTGGTGATATTCTGGGCAAACTTGACATTCCCGAAGAGCGAGCACAAAAATCCGAAACACAAAGATATTTCAGCCAAAAACACAAAGGCAACATGAACACATGCAATGCAATAAGATGTTGCCACGGAGGAAACATCAAACAAAGCTGCTATTTACGAGTACAGTAAAAAATAGGTGGTCCCGACTTTCACGCAATGTGTGACAGCATTAAAGACATGGTTGGTGCTTTGATAAAACAGTAAACAGTGCACGACTATTAGCGCGGTTCTCAGCCCGCTGGCATAAACATGCTTGGGGTCACCGCACGGGAGCCAACTCTAAACATCCGTTGTAGTTGGTGGCTTGCCACGTCACATGGCTATCCACTGAAACATCCTCCAGGTGTAAACAGGTTGCCATGTAGTAGCGCTCCAAATCTCCTCCCGGCATGTACTCGGTGATGCACATCACCGGAGAATCCTCCACGTCCGGGCTTCGAAATGAATTGAAGCAAGTTGCGAAACCAGGTGTCCAGTTGCTGCATGTTCGCAACTTCTTGACACTTGGAGTTCATGACCTCCAATCCTACAAAGATATAGAAAGGAGAGCTTTCTTACGAAGAAGTTCTTATACAATCTTATACAATATGCTCCTACCCTGTACTCACATCATCTCACATCCCTGCCAACACGATTGCATGGCACCATGACTCAAGGTCGATGAAGGTGAGTCTCTACCCATTCGTCGGTGCATCCCCTCCATCTTCCCGCCTTGTCCAAACATGCACCGATGAACCTCGGCTTCAGCGGTGCAACCTGGAGCTCCGATAATGGCCTCCAACCTAGTAGCGATGGCCTCCAACCTATTAGGTGTGTTTTTCCTTTGGTGTTCACTCATTGAAGAAAGTGGCATCATCAGATCTGTCTGGACAACGATCCTCCATGTCATGAATTGTTGAGCCAGTGTTCCCACCGCGCAGTTTCCAAAGTCGGAATTCACAGGGTTTGCAGTCGTGAAATCGTTCCAACGGGTACACCTTACCTTACCATAGCTTACGTAGCTTGCATCATCTTGCATCATTGTTTGCATGATCCTTATGTGGCTCAACAATACACACCCACTTACACACCCATACTAGACCAATCTAGACCATACATTTGGCGATTTGAGGCTCTTTGCAGTTCTTTCTTGATGCCCATTAGCGTTGCTACACAACCCCTGTTCCATCCAATTCCTCTTAGACCACTTGGACGCCCAAAAATGTTCCAAGACTCACAAGGATGTGCGTCCCGCCTTTGTCCCACACCGACGTGCGGGCTGTTCTTCGACTTTTGGACGCTCAGCCGCCATCGTCTCGAGGGAAGAGGAAGCATTGCAATACCGTTTCTATTGAGACCGATTTGGAGTCGCATCACCCTCTGTACAAGTTGCAACTAGTGTTGCATCACCAGTGGAATTGAAGGGACAGCTTAGCAACCCTCAAAAACAGCCGTCCCTTTCGCGCGTCCAAGCAGCAGGACTAGGTCGGGATGGCGCAAGGAAGACAACAGCTCGATCTCGTGCAACAGCTCTTCAAGAAGTTTCTGCAGAAAAAAGATTGGAGGTTGGCGGCCATCGCTAGTAGGGTGGAGGCAATCGTGGAGGACGATGCTTAGCGGCTTAGCGATGATAAGCCGATTAGCTTCATGACTGTTTGTGAGTCGTAGGTGAATCCCCCCAAAACCAAAAAGGATTCTGATTCACCTGTTCCTTTGTGTTCCTGACATGCAGTTGCTGTATGATCCAGGGAAAGTATAAATCCTAGATAGTCCTAGTAAATTAGCAATACCAAATTATTGTTGGCAAGGGTACTGTAAGTGCAGGACCGAATCCTTTACAAAACAATTATCAAATTTCATGAGCCATGAGCCAACATCTACTTTTTTCTGTGGGAGAGAGCCGGGCATACTGATCCTCATTCAAGTTGAACAAGTTAACATTCTCCGTGCTTTGATCGCGAGGACCCCATGGATTCTCCGCTTCTGATCGACTCGCCCCACCTCGTCCACGTCGTTCCCTTGCATTGGCCGCGAGGCAGTGATCGACTGGGCGGGCGTCGAGGGTGAACTCGCTTTTGGACAAATGCCTGGGTGCTCCCACACCAGTTTCATCCAGTTTCCTTGTTCGATCATCTTTTTGGCAACTTGGGGGTTTGGTACATCGCCCGTGACTCCGCAGCCAGCGACAGTCGTTTGCCACCAAGGGCTCGAAGTGAAACTCGGCACCAGGTGGACCCTTTCTGCCAAGGGTCCTCAGAGGAAAACTTTATGCCAATGGGTTCCTCCGGAATTTGCACCTCAGGTCAGACAGCGGCTTGAATTTGCCCAGCCTCACGTCGACCCTAGATTGAACTTGGGGAAAGCTTCTACCAACCAGATGTACACAGAATGGAAGTGTGTCATTCATCCTGAGCAAGGGGGCCACATCGGGCCATGCAAAAGGGAAAAACAAGCTGCAATATTGCTGGGACCCCAGCGCATTTCATCACCACCTCTGCCGATGCAAGGGTGGACGGTAAATTCTCATGCACAAACTTACGAAGAAAGCAAGTAAGTATCAAGTATCAAATATATTGTATGGCTGTGTCTTTCACAGCGGTCCATACACTAGGTGAACACTAAACCAGTCTCACTCACATTATGTTGAAGCAACCTCAGAATAGATTCCAGGCCATGTTTCTAATGTCTATATTCTGAGTAATTGCATATACGACACGTACAGCTTGTGAACCGCCATGTGTTCGCCTTGCAATATTATCCCAGAAAGAGGCCCCAAGCAGCGTTAAGTAGAACAAAAGAACACCGAATAAACAAACTTCAACACTCTAGAGCACACATATTTGAGCAAACACATGAGAGCACAGGCATGAGAAAACACACATGACAGAGGGTGCGCTTTTATCTATTTTTTTGTGGTGTTGGGGGAATCTTTGTGCGGTCGTGGTTTCTCTATAGTTCCTTCAGTGGAACTGAAAAAGCGATACTACCTTTGGATGACATGGGTTTTGGAAAACAAATGAAAACACACATGGAAGCTCACAAATTCCCAACCCAATACAAGGCTGCTCTTCAAACTGTGCCACAAGTCCTATCCCTCAAGGATTGAAAACCAACTTATCAAAAGTGAAAACAACAAAAACCAAAGAAAGAACAACACATTACGATAGATGATAGGGAATCAATACACACGCCACAAAAAGACGATGGGACAAGTAAGAACACATTCACAAAGAAGCAATGCAAAGCAAGACTAGCACAGAACAGCAAAAGAAGCAAGAAAAGCGGGAGCAGCCACAGAAAAGCAAGGAACAACAAGAAAAGCAGGAGAGGTCATACCAAATCAATAAAATCAATAAAAGCAGTAACGAGCAGATCCAAACAATTCCCCGAACTAAACAAACAACATCACCGAACACATACCCCTCCTATAAGATCTATAAGATCAAAGAGCACCTTGAATAAGTAGTGTCGGAGGCTAGCTGGTACACTATGAGTCATACAATTCCTTCTGACACATTGACGAATAGATTCGGACCCCTCCCACATGTGAGGCCCTTCATAGAGGTCCTAAACATCAAGCAAAGCCGCCAAAGAATTCTCCTTATCCCCTTCGGACAATTGACCCTTGGGCTTTAGCAACTGACATGTCTGTTCGCAACAACGAAATGATTGCCACTCCAGAGCCCAAAGGGCAGTCTTTCCGTCCACCGATTTGGGAGTCTCTCATTCTCTCATCCAAAAGATCCAAAGACCTCGTCGGCGTCTCGACGGCGCCTCGGTGCCCTTCCATGTTGCCAGGTACAGCGTGGACTTCAGAGTTTTGCTGAGCCTTGGTGAATGACTTGGCACGACTTGGTGCTCTCACGATGGAAGTCACCTATCCGGAAAATACACAAAACATTAATTAACACATACGTACAATCTGTGATTGAATCAGTGATCTTCCCGGTCCATTCATTTCAAGTTAGGGTGGTCAAAGCACAAAGGAGGAAAGGCCAGAGAAGGCCAGCAAGGAAGGAAGGAACCCACCAAAGGGTGGAGCAGGAAGGAGCAATTAAACATGGGAGCATAGCTTTGGTGGGCCACCCGACGTTAAAGTTTGGAGCAGGATGGAACCATTGCAACGCAGTGCACCTCTTGTAGGCCGCCCAAAGGCAACATTTAGAGCAAGAGAGTTCTCCTTGGGAAGGAGTTCGCAATTTTTTTTGCGTGTTCTTTGGGGGGAGGCCGTGCGCCCCTCCCCTCCACGAAATCTACAAGCTCCCCGATTTCCTGCTTTTAAGGGCCACGCCGCGCCCCTGCACGAGTTTTCCTCCCCCTTCATTTTTGTTCCATTGCCTTGCAACTTTGCTAAGAACAAGAACAAACAACACATCCCAACACATAATATATACGTATATATATATATATATTATATACAAGTTCCTAAATATCGAGCGCCCTGAACCCTGAAATGGGCCGTGCTGGCCATGACTCACTTCAATTCATGTGGAGTAGTTTATCATCACAAACATCCCAGTGATCAGAACCTGCCTTGGCGTTTGGGCTCCGTTTGCTCTGCTCATGACATGCTTTTGACTTGGCCATGGATGAATTTGTTGCCTAGCAAACTTGAGAAAGACCTGTGCCTTACAATGCCTCCAGATGTGACGTAATGAGACGAAGGAGCTCTTTCTTCATATGGATCTCGCTGCTCTCTAATCTCCAATGAGAGTCGACTGCGCGCAACTCCAACCTGCAGTTTGCCAGCCCTAAAACAAATTGTTGGACACCCCAAGGCAAAAGACAAACATGAAACACGTGAAGCTTCACAACTTGGGTCTCTCCAAGACATCTGTCTTCGTCCTGACGAAGTCAACGGGTTCATTCCTCACCGCTGGTGCCATCGCCTCGTTCGGCGGCCGGAGCCTGCACCTGCCTTGAGATGTGCGGACATCGCAGGTTGAGTCCGGAAAATTGAGTTGCTTGGGACCGGTGACGGCGACCAATCATGAACATCTCTCTAGGATTCTCGAGGATGATTCTACATGTTTTTTTTCGATCAATCCAGAGGGATTGGAGTCAAGATCTTCCGTCCCTGTGCGAGGGCTCGCCCTTGGGTGATCTGTGTGACCTGGGTTCCTGCCGACTGGTGAATAGTGAGCCCAAACGTGCAGGTGCCATTTTCAAGCGCATATGGAGGGTGGCAAACCATGGCAAACCAACAAAACGTGTGCGGATGTTGCATCTGACCCCTGGAGAGCATATCAACGAAACACCAGGAAACGCCAAACAAACACCAATTTGGCTACAGTATGTCATTCCAGGGAACATCCCATACTGCCTGAATGAACACACCTCCTTCCCCACGGCTAAAATGCGATGGTACAAACATGTACAAACCATGCGATGGTATAGTATATATCCTCACAGCTTCTGGGATATGTTTAGTCTTGTTTCTTTTTGCAACATCATGCCAAGTTTAATAAGCTGCCCCATGGCCAACCCTGTGATGGAAAGGCGGTACTTGATGATCCGGTGCTGGTTTTGAAACAACCTCATGATTCTTGATACTTCTTGTATCTTCTTATTCTATCCTATTCTTGTCCATGCTACGTATTATTACGTAGTGTTGCTTGCGGATGACCTGATAGTGGGTGTCCACCTCAGCCAATCCGTACAAGACAATGGTTCCCACCCCCAAAACCTCGGGAGCTCCGCCTCCCAGGAGAACTTGGGCCCCGAGTGGCCCTGCAAAAGCGAGCTTCAGCTTCGGTGCACACGATGCACAGGACGGCATGACACTTCTCTGATGTTAGAAAGGAAGTGTGGCGCTTGTCAATTGCATGCGAGGGTTCCTGGTGGAAGTTGATCACCCAAACACACGCACCACACCCATCATTCCACCACTTTAAGGGTGGTTTCGGCACCAAATGTAAAAGTCTTCTTGACATGGAGACGGTGGAAGTGAAGGCATGGTGCTCACCCTAGTTGCCCGTACGCCTCTGTGGTGGATTCTTCGGCAAGGACCTTCTCCTGCATTCTGGCTCGGGTTCAAGTTTGGAGCAGCCAGCCCACAAATAGTGGATGCAGAGTAGATGGCACAATCCCCTAAGAAGGTGGTAATATATTATATATAATTACATACTCTGAAATCACTGTAGGTTAGAACCTGTAAACAAACTACTGCATCCTTTGGTTAACCTCGATTGAAGCAAACCACATGATGAACATCTGTGGCTTCTGTGTCTTGGTCCCTTCACCCTGTTCTCGCAGTCCTGGGACATCTCTGTGAGAGTCATCGGGAGTTCCTCCTTGAGGTCCTTATCCTGTTCGTGTCGGATGCGCGGCTTTTGCCGCTTTAGTATGCTGTATATAGTCATCTTGATTCCATCAAACAAAATCAAACAAGTGAGGCGTACTTGGCAGCCCGCGATGACGTGGGCATGTTCCTTTCGCGCCGATTTGATCCGATTTGGGGTCCCCTGAGTTAGTCCATTCTCTGGAAGGACATCCGCGAGTTCCTCACAGGGTTTGGGATTTCTGCTTCATGAAGCACAACTTTTGTCACCTGATGCCACTTGATGCATGTGCTGAAAGTTGCCGGTCGGCGGCAGGGCTCGCCTCTGAGAGAACTGGAAGAGCTGCGACAGATGTTTTGCTGCAGTGAGAGCCCACCTGCAGTGAGAGCAAAGCCAACTGATGCAAAGAGCCCTACGCTGAAGGGCCCTGGATGCTTTAATATGCTTTAATCCACTCAGTTCAGGTTTCTACTGGAGAAAGGACTTGCTGCAGAAGCCCGTTGCAGGTTCTGAAGCCTGTGGGCTTCACCTCCTTCAGTTCCTGGCTTCAGGGGTGACTCGGCGCCTTCTCCACATTCTTCTGATAAACGGACTTGGAATAAAGCAACAATAAGCAACCTGTTTTTTTGATGTTTATTGACTCTTCACACAGGTTCCCCTGCATTGAACCACTGAAAGGGTCGAGAACCTAGGAACAAGTTGCTGTACTGTGACCCCACCTCTATGTCGTCCAGCAATAGATCTGCCTCGGAAAGCAAAAACCGAAAGCACATGTTGAATTCAACTACCCGGTAACTACCCATTGCTTGAGTTTGAACTATAACTATGTAAGATAAAGTATGTAGGGTTGCACTCCAACACTCCAACATAAGCTTCGCAACTTCAATCGCAGGGAAGTGGCGACGTTTGAGGGTGTTTGGTATCCGACCAGACCATGCTGCCTTCTTGCACATAGGTTTGTGCTCTTCCTCTCCCTCCCTCTCCCTCCCTCCTCTCCTAGCGACTTCTTCCACTGAGGGCCTTCATGGTAGGAAAGGTTCCCATAGTGTAGCGCTAGCTAGCATCAAGCTGAATGTTATGTGGGTACCTCAGTACCTCTGTACCTTGTGTGATGTGAGTCTATGCTTTGCCCTGCATGTAGTTTACACAAACACTCAGGCTATACAGCCCTTTTGCATCTTTTGGGGTCATTGTGTATACCTCCTCAGGTAGGTAGGTAGGCAGGTAGGTAGGTAGATAGATAGCTAGGTAGGTAGGGGTGGTCCTCGATGTATCCGAACACCAACTTCGGTCACCAATCACATGGCTGCCGAACGAAACGGCCGAACGCTTGGCCTCTGCGTTGCTTGGGTCTTCGAAACCTCGCACCTCCGAACACGAAACCGACAAGTCGAATTTGACGTGGAGAGGAACTATCCCAAACACTCGATGGGTGATGGGACTGGAAGATTGATATACCATGATATACCTACATTGGTAAGTACATTGGGGTGTTTTTTGGGGTTAGTGTATGTAGTTATATGTACATCTCTGGGTGTATGATGGTATATGACCCTTGTGCGTCCAGCAATTGCTACGTCGACATCACCGTTCTGTTCGGAAATTGGCCGAGCCGACAGGGCTTACCCGTTCTGGAAATAGAAAGCGCATCGGTTGGAGGATGGGATGTGCCGACAAAAAAGCCGCCTCGCAAATTCGCGGGATGACGGAACGACGACGGTATGGCATGTGGTTGCTGGAGAAAATCACAGGAGGCATCAAGAACATTCAAGAACCAAACCATTCTTTTCAATTGGCAAATCTTGATCCACTGGTTTCTCCCGCCGGGGATTTCCGTCCTTCCGGGATGCTGCTTGGGCATGACATGACAAACATGAGGGGAACAACACAGCAATTCAAGCCACTATCTTATACTCATCAAACCATGATTTCTCGGCTGGTGTGGCTACAGCATGCTACAGCACGGGTTCTCATTCAGGAACTGGTGGCGAAGTGGGACCCCCGCCCACAACCCGGTAAATCGTTCCCATATCGCATAGGAATGATTGGTAGGATGCAGTCGCTCCGGAAACATTGAGCACTTGCCCTTCCTGAAGATCGAACTTGAGTGAGAAACACACAGAACGCAAACATTGGACACCCATGTAGTGAAATAGACAAAACAAGTTCTCTATTTGGGGTCCACTTGGGCCCAGTTGGGATGATCCCAAACCACGCAGCGGGTCCCATGCGCCTCCTTGGATGTTTTGGGACTCTGCTCGGCACAACACCAAGCAAACATAACCAGTCAGTTCCTTCAGAACTGAACAACAGCTGCGGGCATCCACATTGAAATGTGTAAGCGAGTCGCTTTCCGCCATGTTCAATGACAACCCAACTTTCTACAACCTTCCCTTGGAACCTCTGCACCTGTAGCATACTGCGCGGCCTTTGCATCGGGGGCCATGAGGGTTCTTTTTCTGGGAGATTTGTGGGAGGTGCCGGATACAAAGAATCGATTTCTAACACACCGCAACACACCCTTGAGATGCCTCCAAGATCCTCCAAGTATATAATGTACCAGTTTTTTGGGAACATTTCAAAACTCGTCTCCAGTCTGCCGTGGCAAGTTGGTCAACATTGATCCAAGAGCGAATGTTACATGGATTCAAGACCAGGATCACTGACATAAACCCCGCAAGCACGTCACTTTTGGTGATGTGCCAGGCTTCTTTGCGCACCTTTCCCGGGCTGACAAGCGGTCGTTGATGTCGGCTCATCGCCCCACGTGGAGGATGACCCAAAGCAGTTTCAAGAAAACGGCTGTTGTCCTAGAGTGAGTGTTCCCCAAACAGCAAAGGGCATCTATTGACTTTCAATTGGCCTCCATCACCTGGAAAGCTCTTCCCCTCTCCCTCTCTGATTGTTGCACGGCTCCGTTGAAATCGAATCAACCCCAGTTGCGTTTCACTTTCCACACCATGCCCAGGCCAATTTGAAATTTCTATTTACATTGTATCGCCTGTAGCTCCGGTCAGCCTTTTGTCGTCACGACCAGCGGACTGCTGCGGGCGTTTTCATCTCTGACTGGTGCAGCCTCACGACAGCTGCGGTCCTCTCGAATCGAGGGAACCAAAAAACGCCTCGAAGTGCCCAAACCGCGTGATGCTGAGAGGGTTGCTACCACTTCAGAGGTTAACGTGTTCAGGAAACAGATCTACGCTTGCGCACCTTATGTTGGAAAGTCACACAGTTGACACGTGCTGAATCACAAGGACATGGTTAGTTGGCTCTTGCTTGGAACATCTAGCTGCTGGCCCATTAATGACACTGGCATTCTGCAACCCACGACTCGTTTTCTGAAATTTACATATAATACATATCTTGGTTCAAAAACTCAGCGGTTCTATTCCGAAAAGCGGTTCTATTCCGAAAAGTTGCTTTTGGGCTTTTGGTAGCGGGAACTTTGGAACATGTTTTGAACAAAAAAAGGTCTTGAACTCCCTCCACCTCGCTTCAGAGTTGTGAGTCAACCACCCCCCACACGACCGACGCACAACCTCAAAGAAGTCGGCGACGTTGCGAAGTGGCCTTGAAGGCAGGGTGTTATGCCCATGGCAAGGGGTCTGTCCCTTGAAAAAGCACCTATGAGTATCGTTCAATATCATTGGTGGAGTGCAATCGAACCTGACCTGTGGCCCCTCAAACATCGAATCAAACCAAATCAATTGCAGAAGCGCAAGGGCGGATGTTGCTGATGTTCTATGTGCTATGTAGAAGTGATAACATTCTTGACCACAACTTCAACTCCTGATCACACATACATGTTTGCAGCAACTGTTCTGCGACAACTTCCATTATTTGGACAGGTGGTCTATCACCACTATATAATGGGTGTATATTATATGGGTGTCCTCTCTTCAAACACCGGTGGGCTTGGCTCATTCCCGTTTGTTCCTGGACTTCTCAAGTGCAGTCAGCCGACTGTCATGACCACTTGAGGTTTAGCAGCTTAGCATTTTTCAATTGCGTCGGGGGTCCCCACAGGCTGCGTGGAAAGCAAACGCTTTCAGTTCCCGAAGTCATCCTGAGCGACAGTGGAGGCACTTGGAGCACTCTATCCTCCAGTTGGCCAGGCCTGGTCCGTAATTGCTTTGTTCTCGTGTTGTGTTATCTGTCAACATTTTCCTTTCTCGACATGCAACCAGTCACTTGGCCTGTCCCCTGACAAAACTTCCAGGTCCTCGCACACTTAACAAACCCAACACTAGCGTTCGTTTGCACAATACAGCACTGAATCCAGGTGTTGGCTTGAAAAGACTTGTGAGGGTGGTTTTGCACGGTTGGCTCGCTGCCAGTAGGGTCGGGCAGGGTGCTGAATTACTTTTGGATCATCCCGGTGCGCTGCTCTGCTGGCACGCTTTTTCATCTTTTCAAGCGATCTTTGCGCTCCCAATGTTGGAACTGGTCTTCCCGGTCTGCCGGCCCAGTTTGAAGCGGTTATGCAGCTCTTTCCCCAAAGTAGACACCATAGCTTTTAAACGCTTCTCAGTCTTTCTGAGACCGACGTGTAGTCGTGTCCGGCCTTCACTGACACCAACAGGACCCTGCAAGTCTTCAAGCCAAGTTGTGTGGCGTGGGCTCTGCAGACTTTTCAATCGTATTTGTGCAGCCGGGCCTGGCTTCCACTTCCTTTCAAAGAGCTGCCCGTTTCATGGTGTACCCAAACAAAAATCATCGCCTCAGTCAGTGGTTGCTTGAACCTTGAGACATTGCATAAAGGCATTTGCACACCTGAATGTACCAGTGACAATCGGCATCCATTGGTCAATATCTCTCACACCCTAACTTATACACATCAACAAGTGATTCTACTCGCGCTTGATGGCCTTGCAGGTACTCTTGCAGGCATAAATTTATACGGTCGGCAGTGCTTGGGGTGCCACCAAGTGGCCTGTGTCATCTAATGCCACTTCCAGCACAGCTTTCCTTGGAGTCACCAACCACCGCGGAAAAAAACTAACACGAACAAGTGCACCCATTCTGGCAACACACTGAAACATGACGAAAGCAAGTGACTTGTGCCCAGCGTCTGAAGTTCTTCCCAAACTTCCTTGCGCTGCTCCAGCTCCAAGCGGTCTTGATGCTGTCGCCTGGAGACCGTGGGCGACAGCATCATCTCTCGGTTCTTCGGACCATCCCAAACCCGAACCGATGTCCTCGATACGGTGGCACATGGAACACGCCCATTCTGTGCAATTCTGGGGATATGGCTGTGCCAATTCGTCACATCACCGAAAACAAGTCGTGATCTGGGTGAAGCTCCATGCAAGCGGGCATAAAGCGCTGGCGGCTGGTGGCTGTGCATCTCCTCCGTGTTTCTCACGCTCATGATCCCAATCCAAGTGCCAAGTGACCTGGCTAGTCTAGTATGTCTAGTGTCTATGGTCTAGTAGCCTTGCCGGAACGCCTTCTCACCCGCAGGGCGCACCCACCACCTCAGGACCAGGGCACAAGATTCGTTGGAATTCACGGAGGTCGCGGTGCCGCTCCCTCTGGGTTTCCTCGGCACGCTGGGTGGCCTCTGCGGCAAAGGTCTGGGCTGCATGCACCTGGAGGGGATGGATTGAGACTTGAGACGATGAAAGCTTCGAGAAAAAGGCCGGTGAATCCGTAGAAACAATGACCTGGGCCTGTCACCCCACAAAAAAACAGCACAAACGGGATCACGGAGTTGACTGGATTGAATGCCTTCAAAAATTTGAGACTGGCCCAAACCTTTTACGGTTGCATACTTGATATAGCTTGTGAACCCCCTTGAGGTACAATATACCATTGAATGTCCTGTACGTGGTAACGGAAAATCTGAAGTTACCAATTCACGTCATCCTGACCACTCTCGAAAGCCGCATGCCTCATCCAGAAAGGCTTCTTGCTTCAGGTAGGCATCTTTCCTGAGTCCCGCCATGGGCAAAGACCATAGAAGGTACACACTTGAGAAGGTTGCTCCGTGGAGCGTGATTTCAGGTAGCTTCGCGGTGTGCATTAGCCCTTTAAATCTAGATACTGCAGGAAACAACGTATGAGACGGCGTTGCACTGACTTAGAAATCTCAGCGATTGAAAATCAAAATTAGTATTAAAATTGCAGGTACGTGATCCTAGCGTCCCAGGATCATATCAGCCATGGAATGCAGCCCTCTTCGTTGGACAACCAACTGCATCCATGGGGTTGTCCCCCTGCTTCTGTACAGAAAAGCTGGTAGGGTAGATTAGAAAAACTAGAGTAGTGTCCTTGGAAACAGGAGTGGACACACACACTGAGCCGTATCGGCGCAACTAGATCGGATCAGGTAGGGCCTGGATAATAAATAGTGGAAGTGCTTGACATTGAAAGGTTCAATACTGTAAAATACATATCACAGCAGTCTGCGAAAGTGCCGGCACATAGTCTTTTTCCTCTTGGCCGCAGCGCCGCGGCGCAGTGTGCTGGTGAATGGCCTTTGGCCATATATAGCGGCATCAACTTCTGTGCTGTCGTGTGGGCAAGATGTTTTGGGTAAGTGTATTTTTGTAGTGTGTGGTGGCGTGATTGTAAGCCTGAAAGGCGTAGTCTGTGACTCCCTGCTGACTGCGGATCACGAATCTGCCAGGAATGGGTGGGGAGTTGGAAGGTGACGGTTCTGTTGAGAGGGTCAATCAAGAAACCGAGTAGATGGTCGTCGTCCACTGGCTCTATTTCAACTGGTTGTTCATAAAATTCAGGATGGGCCAATGTAGTGATGGGGAGCGCTGATCTGTATTGTTCGTTGAGCAAGATGTATCTGTTGTCGACGTAGCGAGTGTTGAGCAAGTGAAGGCTTGGTTGGTGTAAGAAGTTGTGGTATGTGGTTTGCCAAGTGTGTTCGATGAGCGTGATTGCCACATTGCAAAGTGCTGGTGAGAGCTGACTGCCAATGCCGGCTCCTTGAATTTGTTTGTAGTAGGTGTTGCAAGCTTGGAAAATGCATGAGTGAAGAGCTTGTTGAACGATAAGAGGAATGTGTTGTGTGTCAAGTGTGCGTTGCTGTGGGTGGTGGATGTAGTGGCGACCGATGTGTGAGTGTTGGATGGGATTGCCGGTAGACTGGACATCGATGGTGATGGTAGTGGTGTTGTGTTGTGCTTTCCAGCGGTGGCACAGGCTGATGACTGCGTCGACAAGGCGTTGTTGAGGTACGCTGTTGAAGAAGCCGACAAGGTCGTCGTTGATCGGTGTGAGGTGGATGTCTTCGGGTGTGGTCTGGAAATGGTTGTGGAGGTGTTGCCAAAGGTTGGGTATAGATAATTGGCCTGGATGTTGTGGTAGAAGATGAAGGAGCATAATGTCTAATGCTTTGGAGGTGGCTCGTAATAATGTGCCTGCGATGGATCTGAAATAGCTGATGACTGTTCTACCCTTTCGCCAGGATTTCTTTTGTTTGAGGAAAACTACTCCATGTGGTGTGTAGAATTTTGCGCGGAAGCCCCAGGGGTATGCTTTGCGGATGCTGGCTGGGAAGGATTGTGTGAGAAATTGGTGGAGTTGTTGGGCTGTGAGATCTGGTAGTGGGAGAAAAAGTTGTGGTGTATTCCATGTGGTGAGACATCCGTGGAAGTAGTGCTGTGGGCAAAAGAGTCGTAGGTTTTGTAGTTCATGGTCAGCATGATGGAGTACCAGCTTGTCTGTAAGAAACTGTTGAAGCTGTGTAACGTTGCGGGATGTAAAGCGGGGCGTGTGTAGAAGATTGTCGATGTGCTGTTTCCATTGTTGGTGTAGAAAAGGTAGGCTGTGTTGATGGAGGGCAGTGGGTAGACCATGGTGTCGTAGCCAGTAAGTGAGTTGTTGTTCAAAGTGTTGGAAATATTGCGTCTTTGTGGGAAAGAAAGTGCTGTTCATGTTGGCTTGTAGGAATAACTCAAGATGGCTGGGGAGCTGTAGGTCTTCAAGTGTAAGCACGTAGTGACCATCGTAGAGCGGCGGTGTGTGGTTGGGACGAAGCAAGGTGTGCATGTGGTGGCAGCTGCATGGCATGTCAGCTGCTGTGGGATGTGTGGAGAAGAGTTCTTCCCAACGTTTGTGGTTGTAGAGCCGGGAACGCAAAGTCTTGTGTGCTGCTTCGCGTAGTTTGGTAGTAGGGGGGTGGAAGGGAATGACGTGATGCATGTGGTGTTGGATCAGTGTGCGAAGCCATTTTTCCGTGGAAGACGAGAAGGTACTGTGGGAGAGGAAAGGAATGGTAAAGGGTTTGTTGGCTTTGGGTGGAGTGAGATTGCGAAAGCTGAGCGCTGAGTGGAGAAGGTGAAGAACACGTGATCGATCTGGTTCCTCTAAGCTGGCGGCCATTCGACGGAAAGCGTAAATTTCGAGATCAGTGTATTCGCCGCTGCGGATGGCTGTTGATGTTTGAAAAGATGAAAGTGTATGCTTGCTGAGCTCGCGTAAAACTGTCAGGGCGTGTAGGCGTTGACTTGTGTGAAGGTGGGGTTGCTTAATGGTGTGTTGTCGTCGTCGGAGCCGTTGGAAGAGACGTTTGTGAGTGGACATCCGTGTGAAAGTGGTGCGGTGTTTTGAGAATTGCCAACCTGAGGCTTTGAGTTTGAGGTGTCGTTGGATATAGGGCCAATTGAGTGTAGGTTGCCATTCTTGGATCCGCAGGTGTTCGTAGGTCCATGCTTGATCATAGGTGTCGTGATGGGAAAGGTAAATAGTGCTGTAGTGGTGGAGGTTGTTCTTGGAGTGCCAGTAGCGTAGAGAAAGTTCAGCTGAAATTGGGTGGTTATTGTGTAATTGTTTGAGTTTTGCGTGACGATTGTATTCTCGCTTGGGGATAGTGATGCTGGTAGAGCCGATGTATGTATGTCCATGTTGGTGGTACTGGTGTCTTGTGTGATGTTGGTTGAAAAAGAGCTTGGCATAAACCGCATTGGGATGTGTGAACATTTGGTAGTGATAAGTGTGTGGTGTAACTTGTAGTTGGTTGAAACGGGAGCGCCATTGTATAGAGTGATGTGTTTGCGAAGGAAAGGCAAAGAGGCATGTAAGGTGAATAAGACTGACAGAAAAATAGCGTGTGACTTGTCAATGTAGGGGGTGAAATGGACAAAGTGTGATAGCGCTGTGTGTAATGTTGTTAAAGATTGTAGGGTGTGATGTGTTGGTTGATGCAGCGCTTGTTGTACGAGTCAGGCTGCCAATGCCGAACCCGCGGCCACCAGTTGCTGTAGTGAACGTGGGGGAAGCTTGAGGACCCGAGCCAGCGGGATGCCGTAGCGGGTAGCTGCTTCTTGGAGTTGTTCTTTTGTGATATGTTCATCTCGAAGAATCTGCTGGATGTTGGTGACTTGTGTCTGAGTGGCTGGTGGTAATGTCTTGAGCCATTTTTGAATGCCAGCTGCTGCATAGTTGGCTGGTGAGTTGTCATGGAGTGTTTGTGTGGTGGGATTAAGAATGGTGGTGGTTGTGATGGCGGTAGGGGCTGGGAGTGGGAGATGCGGTGTGTGGGTGGCGGATGATGGGGCATGGTGTGACCCTGGCTTGGTTGGTGTGAGTGCAATGCCATGATTCTTCAGCTTGTCGCGAGCGCGCTGGAGTTCGCTCTCTTGTTGTTGTAAGCGATCTGTCTGTTGCTGGAGTTTTCGGAGTGCTGTGCCTTCGCCGGCTGGTGGTGTAAGGCCTCGTAGAAAGTCAATGATGCGAGAAATAAGTGGTTGCATGAATTGTTTGGCTTCTGTGGTTTTGTTTGGAATGGACTGATCTGCTTGTTGGTGCAAATATTCAGCGATGTTGTCGATGTCCAGGTTGTGGGCCCTCATCTCCGGCAGCAATTGTGAAGTGAAGACCGCCTCCGCGATAGATCTGGTGGTGACAATGCCTGTGTAGCGTCCTTGGGACAGGATGCGTAGGCTGTGGTCCTGGAGGCCAAAACGGCTGAGCTGCCATGGAAAAATATCGAGGACTTGTTGTCCTGCGAGGTTGTATTTCCTGGACCATTGCGTCGGCTGAATTGTCCGAAACAATGTGTGACCGTGTACGGTATTCGTATCTAAATGTGTGTCGCTGGGAGTCCATGTGTCAGGTAGGTTGGGGATGTTGGGGGGTACCACACCAAGCTGTGGAGGCGTTGGGTGGTGAGATGCTGCGGGTGGGGGCAGGGGTTCGGGTGGAAACGTTGCTGGTGGTGCTGGAGAGGCGGTGGGTGGATCAGCTGGAATGTTGGCGTGATGTTGATGATGCTGGTGATAGGGGTGTTGGTAGTGATGACGAACTGCATTGGTGAGAGGTCCATAGCCGGCAGTGGGTGTCGTGGTGCCATAGTATTGTTGCCACCATTGTTGATGCGCGTCCATGATGGGAAACACTGTAGTTCTGTACAAGAAGGAGCAATAAGCACGAAGGTAGTCGAAACTGATGGTTTGAACCACAATGGCTGAAAAGTTGAAAAATTGAGACTGGAGAAAAGTCAAAATTGTGACTTGCAAAGTCGGTCGAAGCTCGAGTGGCAAGCGTCAGAAAAATCTCGAAGAGCAAAATAAGTACGAACATAGAATCAATACTGTAAGTTTTTTGCCATAGCTGGAAGGGTCAATACGCTGGAGGCATTGGGTCAGAAACCATGTACATAGAATCAAAGACCTTGAATTAGGTCTGGCGCTCTCTCACGGTGGCGCTCCAGCATCATCCCACCAGGGTCCCGGAGGTCCCGTGCCCGCTTCTGGATGATTGGGTCGTATGTTGGTGGGTGTCGGCAGGCAATAAATGGTAGGTGTGCTGTTGGATGGAGATGCGAGTGGTGCGGAGATCGGCCCGATAGCTGTCAGTGTGGCTTGTCCTTGTAGGGGAATGCGGATGTTGTAAACTTGGGTAGAGTCGCATTGCTGTGGGAAAGTGTGTTGTGATGGTGTGGTAGGGAAGAGGTTGACTGGTCGTGGGGGTG